GTCGCAACGATTGTTGTGATGATATAGATTGAATGCATTCACAGCCGTTGACGTGAAATTACGTCGTGTAATATGAATAATAAACATCTTGTTTAGACGAATTTTCTTTCTTTAATACTTCTTCCTCTGAAACTGTCGGTAGTATCGATATCCAATGCTTCGATCAAGCCCTCATTTATTTTAATACGCAAAGCTATCGCACAGAGCTCACCCTTCAATGTGGTTTTCAATTTTAAAAGAAGCTGTCTAACTGAATCAAACCGAATAAAGAATTGATGAGTGGTTTCAAGTCGGAGAAATATACGATATATTGTACCATCGAAAGGAATCTCTATAACCAGAATTTGCTTTTAAATTTATTTATTGCCTTGGAGAGAAAGATTATTAAATAATTGTAGCTATTTAATTTTATTCAAAATCCAACAACTAAAAATGAAATTTGCAAAATGTGATTATATGTTATAGAGAGTTAAATTATATTCTAATATAATTTAAATAAATAATTACTTTCTTGATACACGTAACAAACTGTTACAAATATCAAATATCGAAACACGAGAAGTTGATTCGATTGATTAAATATCGGCGAAGGAAAAAAAAAAAAAATGGAATTTCATTACGAGAAGTATCACCAAATTTCGCAAAAATTTGGACATAATTGTTTGATCCGATGAAGACGATGTACAAACACAAAGTAGATAAATAGTTTTCGAATATTGAATTCGATAACTACCTGCATTTTTCATTCACGAATTCTTTGTCAATTATTTCCCAATAATTAATAAGGATGATAAGGCTCGAATTATGCAAACTCTGATAGACCCACTTCTTATCAGTTGAATGCGAATCAGACCAGGGAAATAAAAGGGCAAGAGAGTAGACAATAGACAGTTAGTTTGGATAAAATATGATCTACGCTGAAATTTCTGAAAACAGCCATTTTCTATTCAAGACAGTTGTATTCTTTTCGTATTTACCTCGCCATCTGTAAGGTACTTAAGTCGATAAAATTGAACGCGAAACGTGTACTTATTATATCGAAATTAATCGTGCACGCTCGTGAAAACGCGTTCGAAAACACTGTAACAGGCGTTGTTCCAGTTCGAAGCTGTGCTCGTAAGCAAATAGCTACATGATATTTATACGATACGTTCGACGGTCAATTGAACGATCAAATATGTATACATGTACGATAGTAATCGATTTGTGCAACACTGACCGCCATTCGTAATATTTTTTTTTGTATAAAGGAAAATAAAAATCTTCGGAATAATTACCTTTTTTTTTTCTTTTCTTTTTTTTTTTTTTTTGAAGAAACAATCTTACTATTACTTCTCGGCTAATTGCAAACTAAAAATTAGTTCTCGGCTAATTTAGCGTTCGTTCGTTCGTGATTATTATTATTAACAGTTGTTGCACGCGAATTACAACGAAACGAGAAACAAATAAATTATCCGTCGTTAAACACAACGTTGCAAAATACTTTGACGAAATATTATTCGCATTTTATTCGACACACAATTCGACCGGCACTACAACTCGAGTGCTTCGTAATATTTACAACATACATCGACGACAATTATCGTATATAATCTATTGGAGTTTCCTTCGAGATACGTTCATAAAAAGGATCGTTATTAATTCGCACGTACGTAACAAGCATGTACGCACAAGTGGCATCGCTCTTCCGTTAATTTTCTTCGTTCGAAAAGACGTTCCATTCGAGTCGATGTGCTCTCATAATTTTCTCGTGATTAAATTCCACGGATTATACAAATTTCCCAACCTATTCACGGCATTGCGTATGTAATTTTTCCGCTCAGGGCACCAAACATTTGCTGCATCGAAGGCATCTCGTGGCTATTGTTTTTTTTATTTTATTTTTATTTTATTAATTAATTCTCTTTTCAAAATAAATAAATCGCGATTACTTGGTTCGTTTACTCGGTAGCATTGGACGCCAAAGTATCTCTATCGGTATCTGAACTCGACAGCAACAAGTTGCTAACTTTAATAAATTTCTCTCTCTCTCTCTCTCTCTCTCTCATTCCTTCACATTTCTCATTCTACTTTCTTTCCCTCCTACAGTTTCTCCCTTTCGCGTTTGTTCCTCGATTCTCATATCCTCTTGGCCAGCTTTCTTTCACACGTTCCGCGCGCATATGCGCGTACACACACGGTCACGATGCACCCTCTCTCGACAATACACTTGCACACTTTCACCTTCTTGATTTCTTGTTTCTCGTTTTCCTACCGGTGCAAAAAATAGTGTTGCTATTATAGTTTTTAGTTTGTGTTTCCTGCGTTTGAAAACTGTCGACTTAAGCCATACTTCGTAAATCTAAACACTCTGTTATCGTAAAGTTATACATTGAAATCTGTTCTCATCTCGTGACGTAAAGCTACTCGCGCTTCGAGCATCAGAGCGTGGAGTACCTAATCTCGCGCACCTTATCACCACGTCTCGTTTAGTAACAACTATACGAAGAATCATTGAGAATTTTTGAAATATACACATATATATAGGTATAATGCGATTATAAACACACACTTTTGTAAGTACTTGTTTCGCATCGCAAGGAACCGTGTCGGAAATCAGACTAAGTTGAAATAAATAAAACAATTAAAAAAACGTCGATGAGACAATTGAAGCGAATAAAGTATAATAAAGTAACGAAGAGATTTCATGCTCTACGCTCGTACGCTGGAAGCACTCGCCAACGAAGCCATGTACGAAACTAGTGCCTCGCGA